TTATATATATATATATATATACATATATATATATATATACATATATATATATATATACTACGTATAAGTATACATATATAATTGTACCCATAATTATATATATAGACCGAAATATGCGTCTATCTGTCCATGCTTTTCTGCATGAGAAGCATAAAGAGCGTGGTTAAGTTATTTCGGGGTGTATATCCAGCTATGTTTAATTGAACTCAACTAAAAAGAAATTCATTAATCCAATTCATTCATAAAAGGCTGTTTAGATAAAAGAAGAAAAACCTAAGAGGGGCACCAGAAGAAGAGTCCGCTTCTAGAGGTATTTCTTAAAGGGAGCAAAACAACAAATATATTTACCTCCTTCATTTTCCACTGCTGGGGTGTATGTGCAGCTTCTCCTGCTGCAACAAATAAAAATATTTGCTTACAACCTCTCTAACCTGTTCTATTCACTAAGGCAAACCCGTAGTCAATCGATTGCCTTTATAAAACCCTCAATCCAACCCCTCTCCTCGCATTCAGCACCAGCGCCCCTGCACGTATTAGAAGCCTGAACAGAGGCTTATGTATTTATGCATATATGTATATATATATGAATATATATATATATATATATATATGTATATATATATAGATTTTTTAACGAAACGATGGGCCCTTTCGCTTATATGAATTGCAGCCTCGCACATCACTTGAGTGCGGGTGTTGTTGTGGGGTCTAGGCAGCTGTCTAGACACCTGAATGCAGCTTCCGTGCACCATTAGGTGTATATGCACCTGAAAAAAATTATAAGGGCTGAGCCTGTTTGTGCATTTGTTTGTGAATGCTGTCTCTCTTCTTTCCTTTGCTGTTTTCTTTCTTTTCAAGATGCATGCAATGACGATGTCAAAACTTCTTTTGCTATGTGCTAACTCTCATCTCCATGAGGCCTGAATATTGAACACTATTAATTCTACAGCACTGCCTAGAAACTAGGAGACACACATCTCAACACACACTCCGACTACATTTATTTCATTAATCTGCTACAGAGCGGCTTCCGTCTTCGTGTATGTTCGGGGTATTTAGAAGTTCAGCTTTAATTATACATTTGTGGTCCTGTTTATCTATTAAAAGTATATTTAATGTACATATATTTTGTTGTTTATCTTCATTATTATTATTTTACCTGCTGTTCTCTCCGTCTGTGTGTGTGCGTGCGTGCGTGTGTGTGTGTGTTTGGTAGCGGCTTTGATACTCAGCTGTGTGCCTTCTTCTCCGACCCAACAAGGCATACTAATCCATAAACTCCCTTTAAAAAATAAAATAAAATCAATAAATTTCTAGAAGAAATTAAAAAACGAAGGAGCGACAGAAAAGCAGCAGCCCAAAGCGGCGTGTGCAGTGACCTCGTGGGTTTGCGGTGTATGCATATGAGGTGTATAAGGAGGTTTTTATTTAGAAAAGAGTAATTAATTGAATATAATTCAAAATAACAAGCTATGTATGCAAATATTTCAAGAATAAGCAAAGGTATGGTGTACGTACACTTCAGACTCTAGCAGATCTCGCTTAACCGCTCGCACAGGCGTGGGTGGAGTCAGTACACCTCAAACTTCATCAAAAAGTGCGTAAAATTGAAAGAAAAAAGTATTTAAATAATATTTTAATTAAATTAAATAAAACAATTGCAAATATTCGTCGATTACTGACATAAGAGCACCTAAGAGTGTCATAAAGAACCCAGAAGAGAGCTGCGCACGCACCGCTGTTTGCTTTTCCTCTCCTCGTATGCAGACTCAAACACCTCAAACAAATTATCGTCTTGTTGCTTCTTCATTCTTCACATCATATTAATTCTTTGTCGATCTACATTACCAGAGTTTACATTTTCTTACACCGCTACAAGACCTCATTCATTTATTTATTTCCTTCACTTCTTCCTTCAAAACAAACCACTGGTCCACTGGTCAGTTCCCCACCCTTCAAGACTCATCAACCCTCTTCAATACTTTTTTGGACTTAGAACATTTCTTCGTTTATTTATATTCATAAGCAGCATCTAAACATATCCCTCTGCATTTGTTTTATTCTGAGAAGCGGGCAAGAGCAGTGTGTGCGTTGCAGCTGTGTATGTACACTTCAACATATAGAAATGCATATATATGTGTCTTATATGCTATAACGAGAACAAGTGTACTCAACATAATATCCCTGCAAGCACGACTTGTATGTGTTTGTGCTTCCTTGTTGTGTCTGTTTATAGAGCTTTGAAAATCAAAAATTTTTTGTGTTTGTTTATAAAGTGCTTTTTGTTGTTTTTGTTTGTTTAGAGTGTGTGGATGCGTGCGTTCGCGTGTTTGTTAGGTTTGCATCAATGCAGCGTCTCGGGTCTGCACTGTTTGTATTATTTTCCTTGATAGTAATATTGCTTGGTGTGAGTGTGTACGGTTTGGGGTGTACGTACAGTTTCAGGGAGATGGCAGACGACAGCACCCGTCAATCTGCTAGCGAGGCCTTCGAGAAGAGTAAGGAGGCTAGCAGCAAAGCAGCAGGAGATATGCGAGAGAAAGCTGCAGATTTAAGTGCAGCAGCAAAGGAGAAGGGATGTGCTGCAGCAGAAGCAACACGAGAAAAAGCAAGAGAAGCTAAAGAGCGTAGCAGCGAAGCATGCAGCTCTGCTGCTGACTCTGCTCACGGGAAGGGGCAAGAGGCTTCAGAACAAGGCCAATCAATGTATGAAACAATTAGCGAGAAGGCACACAGTATGAAAGATTCTGTTGCTGATGCAGTTAGCAATACTATGACTGCAGCAAAAGACAAGGCTGTCTCTGCTAAAGATACTGTCTCTGAGGGCGTCACGAAGCTCCGCAGCGATGCAGCAGACCTTATCTCTCCTAAGTAAACAAACTAAACATCTTCACCAAATTTTATGCCTGGCAGCGTACATTCTTCATGCATTAACTCCTTTCTCGCTTCTTTCCCCCGCAGTGACCAGCTAGCTAGCTAGCTAGCTACTCCCTAGCACAGCTAGCTAGCTAGCTAGCTAGCTATGATGATGGCCTCAACGCAATAGTGTCTGTGAATTTAGTGGGGGGGCTGCATGCGGCTTGAGGTGTACGTACAGCTAACACCCAACGTAACTAAACGCATAACTAACGTAAGCCCCCAGCGGAAGCAGAACAAAGCTTGGCCTTATTGATTGCCAGGATACACATTAATTATTATGCTGCTGTTGATGAAGACTTCAGGTTTTAGTCAGTGATAGTTTTTATTAAACAAAACAGAAAAAATAGCGGGTTTAAAGATTCAAGGTTGCTGTAGATATCAACTGGGGTGTATGCTCACCTCTTTGTATTAAACACTCTAATGGGTGGCCCCTTATCAAATTTTTAGTTAATTGCTTAGTGAAGCTTCAGAAAGAAGTATTCACTGTTGCTGCTGCAGCAACTGCCGCGGCCGCTGATAGATGCTGGCAGATTATATTTGAATATACTGCTTCAGCAGCAGCAGCAGCAACAGATGCTGCTGCTGCTGTTGCTGCAAGAGGAGATATCCTGTTGCATGCACGCTGCGGCTCACCTGTCGGGGTGCCCAATCGATCTATGGGCTCTCAACAGAGCGTGCAGATTATGAAATTATTTAATCTTTTCTTTAATCTTTTTAAAATGAAATATACATGGGAAGGCAGCCACCGCCTGAGGGGCGTTCAGAATAAACATGCATGCAAGAATTAAAGAATATTTCTGCATGTCGGGCCATCCCCTTCTCAGTCTGCATAATAAAACCTCTGGTGCTATATATATATTATATATAATTGCGTTTATGTGTTGTAATGCCATTAAATAGAATATTATATTGCGGCGAAGTGTATGTACAAAATATATAGAAATACACAAAATTATATATATATATATATATATATATGTGTATTTCTACAATTATATATATGCATTTATTTAATTCATTCATATTTTACAGGGTTATATATGTATATATATGTATACATGTATATTAATTGTTGATATTATACATATATATAAACGTATAATATAAACAGATAAAAAAACGCATATATAAGTTCATTATATTACAATTTAGGACTGCAATATAAGGAGACTTCCTCTTGCGGCTGCGGCTGCTGCAGGAGTGACCAGTGGTCAGCATCGACGTTTCGTTGGGGTGTCTGGAGAGGTAAACCTAAATAGCAATTCCTCGTTTTATACCAGTAAACTAATAAATAATTTGAATTAATATTATATTTTAGATGTAAAAACAAAAAAAAGCAAACGGTGTATATATACACTGGGACGAGAAGCCCCTGTGGTGTGCGTGTTCGGGTGTATAGGCAGCTCCTTCTTGCTTTGTATTGTTCGTTAGAGTGGCTGCTGTCTATGTTATTTTTAGGGGTATATTTTACGTTTTATTATTGCTATTTCCTTCACATATGTAATATTCCTGCAATCTGTAGATCTGTTATTCAAAAGGAGAAGCCTTCCCCATTAGTGCAGTCTCTCGCGCTGCCTATACACCTGAAGAGAAGATTATTGCATTATTGCTTTTGCTATGTTTGAGGGCATTTTCGTTGCGTAGCTGCCTAAATTGTAGAAGTAAACCGCTGTCGCTCTTCTTGTATGTACACCTCAGGCCACGAGCAGCAAAGTGCGTGGGGCCCTCTGGCTAGACACACTGCATAAAGAACGGTTTTGTTTTCTTGTTATTTCAGCATTTAAAGACGAAGTTTTGTCTTGGTATTACTTCAGCAGTTAAAGACGTGTGTAGCAACAGACAAAAAAGAGTTATTCTATCAAAAAACAAGGGGCTCTAAGAACAGGTTGCATGCTGTAATATAACCACTGGGGCTTCTGTTTGTTTGGTGGGGGGAAAGATGAACAAATTAAATAGTGAAGAGGGGCGAGAGGCCCTCAATACACCCGAGAAGAAGCCTATTGAAAAGAAGGAGGAGAGGCAGAAGAAGAAAGAAGAAAAACAGAAGAGGAAAGAAGAGAAACAGAAGAAAGAAGAAAAGATAAATGAAGAAGAGACGGCGACGAAAGAAAGCAAAAAGGAAGAAGAAAAGAAAATAGAGGAAGAGGACAAGAAGAAGAAAGACAAGGAGGAAGAGGATAAGAAGAAGAAAGACGAAGAAGAAGATAAGAAGAAAGACGAAGAAGAAGAAGCTAATAAAAAGAAAGACGAAGAAGAAGAAAATAAACAGAAAGACAAAGAAGAAGAAAATAAACAGAAAGACAAAGAAGAGCAGATAGAAGAAGAGACAAAGCAGAAGAAAGAAGAAGACGAGAAAGAGAAGGAAGAGAAGAAGCATCAAGAGCTACAGAACAAAACAAATGAAAAAGAAGTAGCAAAGAAAGAAGAAAACAGCAAAAAAGAAAAGGAAGAAGACACGAACAAAGACCAAAATAATAAAGAGGAGACAGAAGAGAAGGAGACAGTAATAAAACAAGATGAAGGGAAGAAGGAGACAGACAATCAAAAGAAAGAGACTGAAGACGAACGACCAACTGCAGCAGCATCTTCACCCTCAAAGGCTTCTTCGCGCACCTTCAGCCGGCGCAGCAGCAGCACAAGCGAAGGAGAAGACAGAACAGCAGCAACAGCAGCAACAGCAGCAGCAACAGAAGCTAAAGCAGCAGACGAAGAACCTTCTTCTTTGTTTGCTTCTGCTGTCAATGATATGAAGATGGGGACAGAAATAATAAAAGAAGCAGCAAAAGAGACAGCCCTCGATGCTGCTGAAGCAATTAGAGAGACAGCAAAGGAGACAGCAGATTGGTTAAGACAAGTGAGTGCAGACGCAGGAGAAATTATGTCTTCTGCCTGGCATGCAGCAACAGACACAGGAGCAGAAGCTTCTGCTGCTGCAGCACAAACAGCAAAAAACGCGAGAGCTGCTGCTGCTGATTATATACACCCCGACTGAGCCTTCCTACTTCATCAACAACAGAACAACAAGAACAACAAACCAGCAGCAGCAACTGCAGCACGTTGCAGCAGCAAATGCAGCAGCAACTGTAGCACACTGCAGCGGCAACTGCAGCAGCAACTGTACCACGCTGCACCAACAACTGCAGCAGCAACTGTAGCACGCTGCAGCAGCAACTGTAGCAAGCGGCAGCAGCAACTGCGGCAGCGGCTATAGCACGCTGCAGCAGCAGCTGCAGCAGCACCTGTAGCATCGATTTTTTTGTAGCAGCAAATGTTTTGTAGTGTACAGACAGACAAAGAGTGCAGTGTTGAGGGGTTTGTCTATCTGGGAGTCAGCTAATAGTTGCCTCTCTGCATGAAGAGAGAAAGTATTTTATTTAAACTTTTCTTCCTTTGTTTTGTCTACAGTTAAGACAAATAACTCTTTTAAGGCCTCGTTGCCACTTAAAACCCTTAATGCAGTATACAGTACAGCAGCAGCAGCAAGCGGCAGCAGCAGCAACAGCAGGCAGCAACTGCAGCAGCAACCGAAACAGCACCCATAGTAGAAGCAGCACCACGAGGCAGCCCCAGAAGCACCAGATGGCAGCAGCAGCAGCAGCAGAAGGCAGCAGCAGCAGAAGGCAGCAGCAGCAGCAAGAAAGGCGCTGATTATTCCTTACTATATGGGACAGCAGCAACTCATTTCTTGTAAAGACAAACATAAAGAAAGTATTTAGTATCACAAAACTAAAAAAAATATATACTGTTTGAAGATTAAACAAACAGAGGCAAATTATATATATTGTTGTTAGACAAAGCAAACAAAAGAAAATAATACTTGCTGCATTACGTGCGCTGCAACAGCAGCAGACGAGCAGCAGCAGCCGCAGCAGCAGCTGAACGCCATATAGACGAAGAGCCAGCACACTCAAAACTCAGGGCTCGCAGCAGCTGCAGCAGCAGCAGCAGCAGCACTATTAGCAGCAACACACACGCGTGCTGCTGCTGCAGCGTCAGGACTCGCTTGTGCTGCTGCCTTATCGTCACTGGCTGCAGCTGCTGCTTTCTCAGCGCTTGCTGCTGCTGCTGCTTTCTCAGCGCTTGCTGCTGCTGCTGCTTTATCAGCGCTTGCTGCTGCTGCTGCTGCTGCTGCTGCTGTTGCTGCTGTTGCTGCTGCTATAACGTCCCGCACTTGACCTTCAAGGGCATCCCAAGAGAGGAGACAGTTGGAAGCAGCTGCAGCATCAACGTGCTGCTGTTCTTGTTGTGGTTGCTGCTGCTGCTGCTGCTGCTGCTGTTGCTGCTGGCCTTCCGGGGACCCATCGGCCGATCCCCCACCCACCACGTGCGTAGCGGTTGCTATCGAGGCACTGGGGCTGCATGCACAGCAGCAGCAACAGCGTTGAAACGGAAGCATCAGCAGCAAGAGTGACGCAGCAGCAGGGATGGGAATTAGAAGCAGCACCAGTAGCTACAGCGGCGAAGCAGCAGCAGCAGCAGCAGCAGCAATGACGCTCAACCAGCAGCACCTCCAGCGCCAGCAACAGCATTGAAGCAACGCTAGCAGCAGCAACAGCAGCGGCAATCGCGGTAGAAAGAACAGTAGCAGCAGCAGCAGGAGCAACACAACAACAGAAGCAGCAACAGCAGCAGCATAATCAAATATGTGCATGCTGCAGCGCCTCACCAGCCCCCAACCCAAGTGTATAGGGCCTTCCTTGCTCGCTGTTGCAGCAGCAAACACCGCCGCTTTGCTGCTGCAGCAAGCCAGCAGCACCCGGACGCTCCCCAAGCAACGGAAATGCTGCCTTCTGCTGCTGCTGCTGCTTCTGCTTCTGCTTCTGCTGCTGCTGCTGTATGTTCATTGTTGAAAAAGTATGAAGTGTCGCTGCAACCGCAGCAGAAGACATAAACCCTAAACCCTAAAGCCTTAAACCCTAATTCAAGAAAAAACAAACCTCATCCCTCCCCCCTAAACCCTAAACCCTAAACCCTAAACCCTGAAGGCCTTGAGGTCATACCACAGACGAAGAGCAGCAACAGCGGCTTCATCTGCTGCAGCAGCAGCAAGCAGCAGCTTCTTTGTCTCCTTAATGCTGTCTCCCTCTTCTTGTGCTGCCGCTGCAGTTCCTACCGCTGCAGTTCCTGCCGCAGCAGCAGCTGTAGCTGTTGGTGATTCTGCTGCAGCTGCTGCTGCTGTTGGCGCTGCTGCTGCGTCTGTAAAAGGTGAGGATATACAATTAGTGTAGGGGGAGTCTGCTGTAGCAGCAGCAGCCGCAGCAGCTGCTGCAGCAGCAGCAGCAGAGAGTCTTTGCGTAGGGGTCTTGACCTCCGTTGCTGCTGCTGCTGCTGCTGCTGCTGCAGTGATGGCCCGCCACGTACGTGAAGGCTTTCTTGCTGCTGGAGGACTGAGGGAGTTTCTTGTTGGCGTTGCTGCCTCACCGTGCTGCTGCTGCTGCTGCTGCTGCTGCTGCTGCTGCTGCTGCTGCTGCTGCTGCTG